TAGCGGTGTCTCCGTCGCAGTTGCTGCTGCTGTCAATGCTGCCGTTGATGTATTGGTATTGCTGCTCCTGCTGCTGTTGCTGTTGCTGCTGCTTCTGCTGCTCTGGCTGCACCGCTGCTGCTGCTGCCGCTGCTGCTGCTGCTGCTGCTGCTGCTTTGCTGCTGCGGGAAGGGGACTGCTGCTCGCTCGTGTCTCCTTTTGTTGTCTCCGTGTCTTCTAAGGCAGCAGCCCAGGGGCGTGCGAGGCAGCTGTCTCCCTGTGGCAGCAGCAGCAGACGATCCGCTGCTGCTGCTGCTGCTGCTGCTGTTGCTGCTGCTTCACCCGGAGCGCCGTCGGCGTAGCAGCAGCAAGCAGCAACAAACCGCAGCTCCTGCTGCAGCGCGAAGGCAGCACAGAGACCCCTCCACAGCACCGCCTTTACTGTCTCTTCCTTCAACTCTACCCGTGCTGCTGCTGCTGCTGCTGCTGCTGGTGTTGCTGCTGCTGCTGCTGTTGCTGCTGCTGCTGCAGGTATTGCTGATGCTGCTGCTTCGGTTGCTGCTGATTCTTCTGTCGCTGCTGCTGCTGTTGCGTCTGTCGCTGGTGTTGCANTGCTGCTGCTTCGGTTGCTGCTGATTCTTCTGTCGCTGCTGCTGCTGTTGCGTCTGTCGCTGGTGTTGCAGCTGCTTCTTGTGTTGCTGCTGCTGCAGCTGCAGGCCTTGCTGCTGCTGCTGCTGCAGCTGTTGCTGTTGCTGCTGCTGCTGCTGTTGCTGCTGCTGCAGGCAGCACAAGACAGATCGTCCAGAAGCGAGAAGGGGGACAGTCGTAGAGAATGAGGTGGGGGGGGGCCCCCGGTGTGGGGGCCCCCCATCTGACCGAGCAGCAACCAAGCACTGGTTGCTGCTGCTGCTGCTGCTGCTCTCCTGCTGCTGCTGCTGCTGCTGCTGCTGCTGCTGCTAGTTCTAGGGAGGCCCATATGGGGGCCCCTGTGGCTCTGCTTGCGTAGAGAAGAGACAAAAAGGAGACAGAGGAGACAGCAACAATGTTGAGTGCTGCTAGCTGCAGCAGCAGAGACAGCGAGAGAGACCCTGACAGCAGCAGCAGATTGGGCCGCAGCAAAGCNAGCTGCTGCAGCAGCAGCTTCACAGCTAGCTGCTGTCTCCTTCTCTCTACCCCCAAGTGAACGAAGCTACTGAGGGGCCCCTCTGCTGCTGCTGCTGCTGTTGCTGCTGCTGCTGCTGCAGCAGCAGGGGGGCCCCCCATGATGTCTCCATGCAGCAGCAAGACCCTAGCAGAGTGCATAGGCAGCAGCTGCTGCTGCTGCTTCTGCTGCAGCTGCAGCGGCAGCAGCAAGCCAGGGAAAGCAATAGATTGTTCTAGACTGTCTCCGCAGCAGCAGCAGATATATATAACATCAGAAAGAGACAGATGAGACTCAGGAGACAGACGAAGTGCTGCAGCAGCAGGCAGCAGCAAACGCAGCAGCACAGCAGCAGCAGACACAGATAAACCCTCCAGCAGGCAGTGTGATATAACACCCCGACGCAGTAGAGACAACGCGTACACCCCATTCGCAACGCTGCTGCTGCTGCTGCTGCTGCTGCTGTTGCTGCTGCTGCTGCTGCTGCTGCTGCTTGTGTGAGCCTCCTTAGCAGCAACAGAACCAGAGGGAAGGGTAGCTGC